TTTTTTTTTTTTGGAAGATTGATTTGTGTTTTCTTTATTGTTATATTTTTTTCAAAATCTTCAGCAATAAAAAAATCTCAAGAATAGTGTCCTTTGTGTTCATTTGTTGTTTACAACTTTGGTTAAAAACAAATAATTGAAACAAGGTCAGTGGTTTAGTGGATTTTAGTACTAATTTCATGCTCAATTTCAAATTTCACTTGTTTTTCTTTTTTCTGCTCAAAACAGAAACCTTCAGCTTGTTGATTTGACCTCTGATTTATAATCTCGTTGGCGTAAAGTCCACTGCTTGGAACTGTGTTTCCATTTTGGGCCAATATGCATAAAGTGCTTGAGAACAGAAACCACAAATGCTTCAGCATATTGCCTTAATTAGGTTAAGTCAGAAACTTTCATGCAAAACAATTAACTTTAGTTGTCTAAAAAAGAAACATGCTAAATATAAGCATAAATTCTATTCCTTCTTCGTCCAATTATCGTCAAAAAAAATATTGTTTGGTCATCAAATTATTGTCAATCACTTTTTTTCATTTTTATTTTTATTCTTTTGCTTTTCTCCAAAATAATCTTTTTTTTTGATTCAACCAAATAAATTAAGGCGATATCACTGTTCCTTTCAATCAACCTTTACACGAATTATAGTGAAAAGAAAGGCAAATTTTTAACGACTATGATCAGTAAACCTATACAGTAAACTTTTAATTGCTATTTTAATAGTTTATAAACGTGAATAGAAGGTTGCAAAAAAAGACAAGAAAATCCAAACTTTATCAACAACTTGACGAAAATACTACAACGGCTTTCTAGTTAGCAAATTCAATATCAAGAAAAAAAGAAATAATTTAAATAAGACAGATATCACTAACACAGCGCACAAAACCAATAGTACCGACGTTACTATATCAGATACAAAGTAAATGGGTTGCAGATCGGTAAAGTAGAAAAAATGCTTGGCGGTTTAGAGCACTGTACCCAACAAATCGCCACTGATATTTGTTCTGAATTTTTAGAATCGTTGATTTTTATATAGACTATTTGTTTATTAAACAATAAGATTCGCGACAGATAACTGTCATCGACTGAGAAAAAACTGCATATTTCATTAAATAGCTAACAATATCAACAGTGCTAAAAATACTTTTGTATCATAAGAGCACATTTATTCATCGTCGCTGTCATCGTCTGCAAAAAAACTGCATCGTATGTATTTCATTAATAAAAAACGCCAAAATACTACAATTAGCAAGCTACGAAAACACAAACAGTGGCTGTCAAGAGACCTTGTTCTATAGCCACAAAATGGAACAGTCATCCAGCCAAAAAAGCCTAAAATTAAAACATAACAAATTTTACCCTTCTTTCTCCCCTTGTTTAACTTCTCTTCACCACTACGGTCCTTGAGAACCTTTGCCTTAGATACTTTCCAACAAGCGCAAATCCCCAATTCATTCTCGGCATAAAGAAATCCTCGAAGCCCAATTGTCCAAATTTATTCTGCATCACCCAAAGGAGTCGAATCACAAAAACTGATGCTGAGCGGGTATTCTCCAATTATTTTGCTTTCATCTGATCAAAAATATAGTACGCTGTACAAAACTGTAAATGAAAGAATTTTTTTATTCATAACGTAACTTCTCATATGACACAATTTTCAACAACTTCATAACAACAGCAACAGCAAATTAGACCAAACAGTAAAATTCAAATAGACAATAATCAACAATAACACTATAACCGCTATCCTTACAACTTCATAAAAAACTATATCCAGATTAGTAATTTTGAAAATTTAGACCTGCCTGCTTTTCTGTTCCCGTCAGAAAGTCAAAAAAGAAATTACCTTTAACGTTCAATAACCAAAAAAGCGAAAAATTGTAAAATCTGGATTATTACTCACAAAACACAAATCAAAACCAATCATGTTGTCCCCTTTTTCTTAGCCCGATATTCCGCAACAACAACAGCATGGTCCCTCTCATAAGGCTCTAAAGATACTTGTTCTCTGGGTCTAAATTTTTCTTCCTTCAATTTGTTGACCTCGGAAGCAAAAACTGCCTCAGGCTCTGCCGTAGAATCAATACAATTAGCCTGCAGGCAAAAACATTAGGTTTTAGAGTTTCACACAACAACAAAAACAACAAGATTTTACCTTAATAGAAATTACAGCAAAACCTCCATTAGCTAGAAAGTGATGAGCATTGATTGCCACAATACGAGCTTGGTCTGGCTGAGCTACATCAGCAAAAATTGTGTCTACCATGCCTAAAAAGCCCCTTATCAATAACTACCAGTCCCTCGCAAAAAATTAAGATAATTGAGCACTAACCGAACTACAGTAATAAATCATAACACCATTTCCAAGAAGACGCCGCTTACCAACTAACAATCTATACTTATGTGGATGGCGAGCGTCATCAATAATTGGAATAATATTCGTACGCTTCTTAGCAAGATTCAGCAGTTCACGACCTGATCTTGGTGAGAACTCCACTGCATATACAAGTCCATCCTAAAAAAAGTATTCTGAGAAAAACTTTGAAAAATGATATAAAAAACTTTCACAAGGAAACAAAACCAAAAACTACGTACTAGAAACAGGAATTGAAGTTTTACAAGCAGGTTCAATGAAGAGGGAGATGTCAAAAAAAAGTCAACATTTCAAATAATTACTTCAATTTTAAATCTGCAGAAACCTCAAACAAATTAAAAAATAATCAGAAGAGAACATAGTAAACAATTACCGGGCCTACTATATCTGAACAGTGGGAAACCGTCGTACCAGAAGCCGCTCCCAAGTACAACAATTTCGTGCCAGGTTTAATGTGTACTGAATCAAGACCATGCATCATAGCTGCCGCTAACTTCGACCGAAACGGATTCCAAACTCTGTATTCTACTGATGTACCAGTTTCATCATCAACGGATATACGTTTTTCGCCATACACTGATTCCCCCACTACCATATTCTTTGTGGCCAATACATCTTCCTTCCCTCGTATTACAAATACACCTCAAAATTCGACAAAACTGGTTTAATAAGTTTGTTAGCTCTGAAGGTGTAAAACTACTACCGCTGCTAGTCTAATAATCGAATAACAAAAATGATTAGAATAATTACCTTCATAACGATGAGGTTCAACAATAACCTTCTTCCCTCCGGGCATTCCTCTACCTCCTCTTCCACGCGGAGGTCCACGTCCTCGAGGTGACCCCCTCGGTGTGCCACCCCGGCCACTGCCAAAGCTAAACCCCTCAGAGACCCATTAAAAACTGCCACCAGTTAAAAAATACAAAAGCACATACCCTCCTCGGCCACCTCGAAATCCTCTCTTTCCTCCACGATCTCCACCACCTTTAAAAATAATGTACCATCTTCCATTAGTTTAACAATACAGTAACTGTAACGTAGTTGTTCCACAAATTAGTAGTGGATGATAATGTATTGAAAGAAAGCTTGAAAACCAAAACAAACCAAAACTACAACTATACCTTCACGATTTCCGCCAAACCCTCCACGTCCTAAAATTCAAAAATGAAACAACCAAGCGGAGTAAAAAGATTCTTTGATTGAAAGTTCGTGTATTACTGGCTGGAAGAATTACAATTTATAGCTGTTCAGTAGAGCAAACTTAGATCTAATAAAAGTGTAATCTTCAAAAAATTTTACAGCAAGGAATAAGCGTAAAAACTGGCAACAGAAAACTAACCGCCACCGCGAGGTGAACCACGAAAACTACCTCCTCGGAAACCTAGAAGGCCAAAATTCTCAAGCTGATAAACAACAAATCGGCAATCAGTATGTTTAAAAAATATACTGCAAGAATACCAGAAACCTACTATATGTCAAATCTTTTCAGACAAATATTTCAAGAGGACACTACTGAATTTTTAAATTAAAGAAAAAAAAAAACAAAAATGCAAAAAAAAAAATTACCTCCTCCGCCTCTTCCGCGAGGTGAAAAGTCTGGGCGTCCCATGCCAAAATGTTGCTTGCCTATTAAAACATTCAAAAACACATAAAACAAAGGGAAAATGGTCCCTCCATAAAGCGTAACATTAAGGTGACAATGAATTTGGGCATCATTCCCCTAATGCGGACAGAAAACAAAACTGAAAGTCAACCTGTGCTAGGAAAAACTGTCACATAAAAAGCCAGTTTTCACAAGAAAAAAAAAAAAAGGGAAGCGAAAAAACCACAAGTCCTGAAAATTCTACAAAAATAAAACATAAAAAAAAAAAAAAAAAAAATGCCTCAATTGTCAAAAAAAATTCAAGATTTATTTCAAAAGTAAATATTTGGCTACATTGCAATACAATCTTTTGAAAACTCAGTTTATCTGTAGCAGCTAAATATTTTTTGGTCAGTTCAAAGTGAAGAAATGCATTCTGCGCCGTTTACTGCGTAGCACATTCGTCTGGTGTCCGTAAACTGGAATGTGCTGAGGATTCAAGAAGTTCGCCCAATCATCCAAGCAAGATTATATTCCAGGAAGAAATTTGCTTTTGTAAGCATTATTGAACATATAAGCGTTTTGGAATGAACCCAATGTTGGCTTCAAGTGAAAAATCACTACGATATTCACCAAAGTTTTTAAAATTTGGCGCAGCAATTGAGCTACATATAATTTCATAGTAAACTTTTTTGAAATATAAACAACGAAGTTTTCGACTGCCTCATAATTGTATAACAAAAGTCAGACAACGGAAAATGATGAATATTAATCGCTGTATGATGCATGGAATCAACTAATTACCGGTCATATGTTTATTTACAATATCTGAACTATGAAACAACATAGCAACAGTTATTTATAGTTATTAACTGATGGTTTTTTTTAATCTCTTCTATATTTGAAATCTGGCTGGTAACAATGCTACAGTCTTACATAAGGGGCAACAACCAAATAATCCAAGAACTCTTAAACGATCACAAGCTGCTCGCGTTTTGTACAGATGATGTGCTGTATATCGACGGCAGAAAGTTTTGTCGTTTCCCACATAGTGTCGAAACCACGCAGCGCACAGTTCCACGACAGCTTCTAAAAGTTCTTCAGCAGTTATATGCATAAAAATTTTACAATTTCAGCACTGCTTACGAAAAGGATTTGAAAGGAAGAAATGAATAACTGTTTCGAACATTAAAAAAATGATAACCTTTAGTATAAGGCGCTACAGGTGGTGTTGATTTTTTGCCCAACAACCGAGCTATAACAGTAGATTCTTGTTCATCAGACCTTGCATATGTTGAAAAAGCATCAATTTGCGGCAGAAGTGTTCGATCCAGTAAACATTCAATAATTCTTTGATTGAGAAGATCTGTTGAATATAGGCCAACAGACTTTAGTTTTCTAAAATTTTTCAAAATATACTCAATAGTAGCTTGTTCCATATTCTGGGCTGGAAGCAGCAATAATTCTTCCAAATTTTGACAGTTCTGAAATGCTAATATAAACCGTTGTTTTGCACCGGTTATCTTCTTGAAAAAAAATTCAACTTTTTACAGCAGGTTTAAAAACGAGTGTTTCTAATACGTACTTTGGCTAGACGAGTTGCTTGAGTGATACCGAAAACAGCGACTCGAAATATACACAACGACTTTAGATTGTTGGGTAAACTTTCCAGTACACTGTTGAAACGATCTTCATTCAGATCTTCAGCAACACCAACTATTGATAACTCATCGAGATTTCTTAATGAAGATATACCGTCGCAAATTTCTCTGCACATCAAGGAAAATTTACACGGAAAATCCGAACGAAGATGAAGCACTTTTAATTGCTGCATACGGTTGAGATCTTAAAAAAAAAAATGATTTTTTTGAAACTTTGGAGAAACAAGTAACTTTTACATTGTCGCTTATGTGTGTTATTTCCAGACTGTACAATTATCTTTCATTTGTACCACCGTAAAAATCTTAAAAAACCTTTTATTATTTTATTGTACTTTCATTTTTAAAATTTAAAAAAATTATAAATTCTTCCAGCGAAAAGTGAAAAAAGTCGAATATTACCCAAAAAAAAATCTCTGAAATATGAATAAACATCTGCATTTATACCACCAAAACTTAATTCAAGCGTTTTGATACTGCTATAATTGCAGACTTGTGGGATTAGTCGATAAGCTGGCACAATATACGCACTGTTTGGCGGATCTCTCAAACAGGTGATACATATATGGATGTTGTCAGTTACTGTTGATAACGACTGAAATAGTTTAGCCTACGAAGAGTAATCAAATCAAAATTTTACCCAATTTTTTCAGCTTCATTCAGTCAAATAGATAGCAAATGTTTGTGTGATGTAATTGTTTATTACTGTTAGGTTCAACTAAACTGTACTTACGAGTCTTATGTAAAGAATTTACGTTAACAGCTTAAAAAACTAAACACAATGGTCCTCTACATCATAAGTCTTCCCTGTTTTAAACAATTCCTGAAAACAAAACTATGTTAAACTGATGGCTTAAGAAACAGACTATGTCTTTTATGCTGCCGCATTTTTTGATTACTTTTAATATATGATTTGCACTTTCCGTTGCATTTGTTGAGATATTCAACTTTGTTGGTCTTTCAATAGAAAACAAATTGCAAATTTATCTAATTGTTACTTTTTAAATGCGAAAAAAATTTGAATAAGAACTGAGAACATAATGTTGTCCAACTTTTAATGCTTTATCAAATTCTGCTTGACCAAAAGATCCATTTGGTAAAACTGAATAGGCGAAACGTTTCAGTTTGACTCCAAATGCAGTCATTGTTTCAACTATTTTTTCAACAAAGGCATCGTTGAAATTGGTAAGTCCCATTTGTTCTATCTTTTCTGTTATCATACCCTAAAACCAAATTTAAAAAAATATGATGTTAATGCATAGCCAAAATGAATCTTTGTGACTTGTAGAACAATTTTATCTGTATGAGATTGTTTCAAAATGGTACCAGGAAATATTGCATTGAATCTCCGTTGTACGTTACGCTATGAAAACAATAAGATGTTACATCCTGAAGGTCGGGAAAATCTTCGGCCCCTAAATTTTGAAATGGTGGTATTTAATAGTTGTAAAAACTAAATTTTTTAAGCCAACAATTTGTTGAGCATCAGTGAAGCAGTTGTAAACATTGAATGTAGTTGGTTAAAAAAGTTTGATCACAGCAAACCACACTTTAGTAGCGGAGAATTATAAAAAAAGAAAAACGAAAAAAAAGGTGACTAACACAGAGATAGAACATTCGGTGGCAAATAAGTGTTGGTAAATGACAGTGCCTTAACGTTTTTAAATAAGGACAGAAAAAAGTGATAATAATGACGTTTAAGACTCTGAAAGAGCAGTAATAAATTTATTTACTAAATAATTGAAAAGAATTCTAACATTCTTCAGTATTCTTTATTTTTCTGTAGGATGAGATTCTTTTTAATGTACTGTCTTCCATTTTTTTTTTCATTTTTTTTTTGTTGCGATTCCACTCTAAATTGGGAACTATTTTGTAGACTGTAATAAGACTTCTCTAGAGGAAAAATTTAGCATCATTTTCTATTTCCTTGATTATCTGCTTTAGATGGCTCAATGTTCTTCTCTTTCTATAAAACAGTCATTCAATCAGTTCTTTCAGTCAACCATTTATCTGTTTAAAGTGGACTATTACAGAAACTGTAGCCACTTTTTCTTTGATACATAGTCTGTAATGCATAGCAAATATATACTTTATATTCCATTCCTAATATTTCTTCTAAATTATGGTTAGCAAACAAATCTTTAGCAGTTTTGACAGTTTCAGCTCTTCAACGCTATTATCAGTTTTGATTATCCTCTCGTTTGTCTTTTTTTTTTTTCTTTTTTTTTTGCAGTTTTTTATTGAAAAAATTTTTTTACATAATACTAACGCCCTCAAATCTGACAGTAGTTATTTGCGAATTTAATCGAGAAAATATTTTTTCCAAACGATATCTTTGTCGTTGCAACCGGTCGTCTGTTATACCATCTGTAAGCATACGCATCTGTA